CAAAGGAATTTTAGCTCCTATTGTTTTGATTGGTCAAATTTCAATCTTTCAATCTTCAATCTCACCTTGCTTTCCAGCAAGGACACAGTCAGACACAGTTGTTGTTTGCAACATTAAACAAGGATGAAACGACTCACTGTGTTACACAGTGTCTGACTATGTCCTTGCTGGAAAGCAAGCTATAATAAGAGACTGGCATAAGTTCTAGTTGGATACAAAATGGCGTTCACAGGATGACGATAAGTCATAGGACGCGTTCGCAACTAGGATGGAAAAGCAGAAAAAGTAGGAAAGCGGAAGCCAATCAGAATTCGGGCTATATTATCATATATTACCAGCACGACTTTCGATTGGCTTCTGCCATTCCATATCCAGCCAATCAAAAATTAGCCTATCTATGCCAGTCTCTTATTATAATGTCTCTAGGTCGTGCTTCTGGATGCACCTTAAGTTGGTTTTACATTAATCGCATCGCAGCGTCGCAAGCGCTGCGGTCCAATCAACGTCAAGCAAGCTCGACTCTGATTGGACTGCAATGCTTGCAACGCTGCGATGCGATCAATGTAGAATCAGCTTTAGGCGGGAATCAAACTATGCATTGAGGATTGAGATTGAAGATTGAAAAATTCAAATTTGACCAATCAAAACAAAAGGAGCTAAAATTTCTTTGTTCTTATTGGTCAAATTTCAATCTTCAACCTCAATCTTCAATGCGTAGTCTGATTCCGGTCTTATGAATACCGGCCATAGAGCCCACTGGTGCCATGGCCTTTACTTCTAGGGACCCTAGTCACACGACGCAACTATTGACGTCGCCTAGCGGTGATGATGGGAACGTGAACGGGAACGACGGCTATCAATCATAGCGCATGCGCGCATGTGTCAGTGTGTCTTCGATTCGCGTATGTGTGTGTGCCGTGTGTCGTAGACTCGATGGATGGACGGGTCAGACGAGTGGACGTATTAAACGTGCGGAAAGTGGCAGCGGAGCGGAGAGAGTGCGTGTGAAAAATCTTGGTGACGCCGTCGCGACACACGTACATCGTGTATTGCACGTTACGTACGGACATACGCGAGTTCAAGTGAATGGGGGAGAAGAAACGCGGCGCAGGTACAGGCACAGGTATGATACACCGTCGTTAGTTCTCTCCATGGGATTTAGGTTACGGCGGTATGGCGAACCGGACGGATCCGGATTGATGCTGCGAGAGAATGTGAAATGTACGCGATAAGTGCATGTCGTTACCGCGACCAGAGAAGTGCCCAGCGAGTTCGCTCATACGTTTAATTCACGTCTCTGATACACGCGCGCTCGCGTGTGTGCATGCTTTCGTGTGTGTGCGCGCGCGCGCGCGTTGCGGCGTCTGTGCGGGATCTCGGATCTTCCGTGTCTTTTCTCCCCCCTTCCCTCTTCTCCCCCCGGTGTCTCCTTCTTTCTATCTTCACTCTCTGTCCGTCTCTCTCTCTCTCTACACGATTTTCTGCGTGTACGTGTGCGGTCGTCTCTTGGACGTCTCTCGATGCTGCACGAAGGCAGCGGTGGCAGCTATCGAAGGATTATCGCTATCGCTGTCATCGTCGTGTTGTGTCAACGTAACCCACGGCAGCGGCATCACCACCACCATCACCAGCACCACCACCGACGCCTCCTTCAGTAATTAAACCAAACAAAATGGACACCGAGATAACGATTGAGCGAACATTCGTGTGGTAGCCTCCCCCTCCCTTCCCCCTTCCCCCCCTCATCCCTCATCATTCTCTCTGTTTCCGTCTATCCTTTCCCCTTCCCTCCTTCCTCACCCCGTCGTCTATCTAGGTTTCTTGTTTTCTTTAGATGGACTTTGGGAAAAAAGATGGGATCGCCGTTTGCACAATTGTGAGTCCTGCTCTATCTTTCATATATTCGATCGTTAATGTCGAAAGTAAACCGTTGACGCTCATCCGTGAGTGACGTGATTCCACATGCACGGTGCACGCATCGATGGCATATTCCGATATACTTGTATATCGATGTACCTCCGGTCCTGTTCCTCTCGCCTTACTCTCTCGGCGATCTTTTTTTTCTTGCTTTTTTTTCCCCCTTTCGACGTAGTCCGTAAACGCAACGTTCTAATGCCGCTTTTCACCTCGGCCACGCGAAGTGTAACACCGTGCGACCGAGGGAAGCAGATCAAGCAGATTTTCCAAGAATTCGAACGTCTTGACGGACGGCCGGCATGCGACGATTTGTTTTTTCCACCCGTTTGAACACATGGATCGTCCAGCTGCACAGATGCTCCGATACCGCTTACCGGTCTTCCATGGGAGCTGTGATAATTACGACAACCTTAGTGAGATTATGTCGCTCTCTTTTTTTTCTTACAAATTATTCCGCGTTTGTTGCATTGCAGGCATTTGACATTACAGACGCACAACAAGCGTGATGTTTCCTCTCCTTAAAGAGATCGCGCACGATTGCTGCGCGTGTATAAATGTAGTAGCACGATCATTTAAATATAAGACGTGTACGCTTTATCATTGGGACGCGCAGATCCCTATTATTCGCACGTATCAATAAAATCCTGATGCACGTTTCTCTGAAGGATTTTCCTACGTCCACTTGTGAGCGGCGATCTCGTGAAATCCTGCAGGTAGGATTTACACAAAATCTTGACACGCTCGAACAAGATAAATGAGGATGCGATTCTAACGAATGACTGTTAAGAGGATCGGTAACGTAACATTTTGAGAATTTTTCTTAAAAGGAAAGGTGATAGGAAAGTTAATCAAATCAAGACGGTTCGTTTCGTCATCAGAGGTGTCATCCGCTCAATTAATGAAGGTTTGGACGGTTGTGAGAACGATCTTCGGATATAACCGTTGAGATAGAAGAGAGATTCGGCGGAGGTTTCCTCGGCACTCGTTCTCGCCCTTGTTCCCGTGCTCGTCGCGTTGTCGCATTCGGCTGCCATTTGAGCGTGGCACATCGGGAGATGTATTCGAATCGATACCTGCGGAATACGATTGGTTAATCGAATATCCTACGCGCGGCTATCGGACTTTATAAGCTAAAATCTGATTGGTCCTCTTTCTCGTGTAATTTCGACTCCTGTCTTGTTGCTACCAATTGCGCGGTGCGCCTTTACCCGCGATATTGAATACTCGATGCGTTGCCAGTACGACTCGTCCGTAGCGTTGTTCTCCGACGTCTTTCTCTTTTTCTCCTTCATTCCCTCTCCCCCCCCCGTCCCTTCTCCCCCCTCTCTCTCTCCCTCCGTCTCTCTATCTTCCGCACCGTTATTGCCTGTCCTTTCACTAAATTCGCTTGACTCGATATACACACATACACATATACACGGATTCATAAATCTGTCCGTTTGTAAAGAGAACATGAGCACTTTGCGAATTTCGTTTCCATTTTTCTTCACATTTCCGACAAGCAACGCGCTATAATTAAAATTTCTCGTTTGGCGTATCCCGAGTTCAATTGTTATTATAGCAGTTACCGTTTTGTTCGTTGTATCGCACTGAGAGAAAAATTTTGGATTAAAAATGAACGAACCAGAAGTTTGTAGAGTCATATTCTTGAAAAATGTCGCGTACAAAATACTAATGTACGAAAATACTGTAGCGTTACTGTGTACGTTATGTGTGTATTATCCCATACAGCACAGAATTTGCAGCAATATCGCTGCAACATGCAATGTTGCTGCAATGTTGCAGCAACTTTGTGCTGTAGGGGATAGATCTTTCTAGTATTTTTGTATGCGGTATGCATTACTGTTCGTCTGCACGTATATACATTAGATACAAGATTATCGAAATTGAATTTCTATACGTATGAAAAGAAATTCATTATTAGTAAATAATTGTTCGATATGTATTCATTTTTCCAGCATGTAAATATAACCATTTATATCGTTGGAGATAAAATTGCGTGCTTGTCGGTCGAAAATTTTTGTGGCTGGGTTCCCCATTGAAGCGACTTTTTCGAAAAATGGACTGTTATTCTAACCTCAAACCGTCTTTTAATTTAAAAGATTCTTTCATTATCTTCTGTTATAATATAGTAAAAAAATATCGAAATTTTATTTTTTTGCGGATTCTTCTACTACATAATAATTATCTTTTTTCATAAAATATTTAAAATGAATTTTTTGATTTTTCACAATTTCGGAAATATTGATCCATGGGGAACCCAGCCACAAAAATTTCGGACCGACAAGCACGTAATTTTTATCTCCAACGATATAAATGGTT